AAAACTGTATTAATATTTGCATATAAAAAGTCACAATGAATTAACAATAACAAAAAAAAAGTAGTATCATTGATCTGTCTGAATATTCCTTTCTAAGAATTTGCAAGAACTTGGTAGGGATTACCAGTATTGCAATGAATTCGTCTGAAAAATATTTTTATTGTTGATCTGCTAGGATAAATCCAAAAAGAATTTGGGCGAAAAAAAAAGAAAAACATTGTTATAGAAGGAATTAGAACAAATGCATATTTTATTCATCTGTGTTTTAAAAAAATGTAAAATGTTTTTATACGGCTTTGAAAAGATTCCATTATAGTAATCCAAAAAATAATGGTTCTTAATTTAATATATATGCAGAAAAAAATGAAACTAGAATGTATCAAAATCTAGTGCAAAAAGGATTAGTCAAAAAGTATGATTTCAGGCAATATAATCCGATTTAAAAGGAAATTTTAATTTGTGTGTAAAACTTATTTTTTTAATCAGATTTGATAGTTTTATGTAGAGAGCTTTTTAAATTAGTATATTTTTTTTCCAAAATGGTTTTTCTTTTTGTATTTAAAATGAGAGAGTAAAATCCTCTAAAATTTAATGATTATATAATTTTTTTAAATATCAAGTTGTTAAAATTTTATCTAGAGAGCACTGAATGAATTTTCAGTACCCGGATTAGGATAATATAGCCAGTGGAACGAATTGATGCATTGGGTTAAATTCTTCTTTTATAACTGTTCTAGAAAATGCATCTCCGGGATTCTATGAATTCCGTTTATACATTCTTTATTCTGTATACATATCATTATATTCTTTTTCTTTAAACTAACAGATACAAAAGGTGACCACCGACTTGAATATTAATAATTATTAAAATTCAGCATTTGTTTAGCATTGGTTTCAGTTTTAGAAAAATGAAATTTAAAAAGAAAAAAAATCATTCATAAGCGTGTAGCAAAACTGAATTCTTTAAAGGAGTTTGTCAATAGATACTCATTGATCTGATGTTTTAAACTCCTTCTTGGTGAGAAATCTTTAAAAACTTAAATTCTTGTGTATCTTATATAAAATCTTTCAGCAATTCATATTGATTTTGTCTATTATTGCTATTCTTGTTTTTAGGTTATCAATCAGTGTTTGATTTTAGATAACTCCAAAATAGCTGAAATATATTGATCCAAGTGTCGAGATGATAAACGTAATTGTGTTACATAGGTAAATATTACATCGAAAGTGATAGTCGATAATACTGATAAGCATACAGGTAAACGTTGTAATCAAAGTGATAAAGTGATTAAACAATGCAAATAAAAGTCTTGAAATAAATCAGATTCTTTCTGAAGAACATCAGGCAAATTAAGCTTTATCATATTGTTGTGCGCGAACGAGTTCGTAACAGATTGAATGTACACAGGTCTGACGATAGATTAATAAAATTTACTTTTTATCAAATGAAACACTTAAAAGTTCTGGAATTTTCCACAGAAATACTCATACAGATGCTCACAGTGTCACAGAGTACAGCCAGTAGTTTCGCTTCAAACTACTAAGAACGTTAAACACAACGCAATGAAAAGCGCGCCTAAAGATAAAGCTAACGGTGATGTTTCGTGGCGATTTTTTTTGTGGCGATTTTTCCCCAAATTACCAGGATACCCATTTAATCAATGTTAATCAATGCACCTATCCCTGTATTCTTACTTTTCGGGCACAGCTTCACTCTTTAGATTTTTCACGTTACATTACACTGGAAAATACAACAATTTCGCATATAATTGCACAAAAGTCATCTATCGCTGTGCAAAATTATTAATTATATAGGCAGTCTCATATAATGTACAATGGCGAACAGAATTTGACTGGAGGGGAGGAAAATGAAAGCAAAAACGAAATATATCCAATCCAGGGTTATCTAGCGTAATTTGATTCATTGTTTGTGAATGCAAAATAAAATAAAAACACTGAAAGATCTTCTTGAATGTGTTTTCTATAAGTAGCAGTTTTATTTTTTTCAAAATATACGCGTGTATGTCTATATAGATAATCTATAGATATCCAGAATAAAAGTTATTTGAACTAGTTCTATGCATGACAACTTTCTTTTTTTATGTAAGGTATAATATCTGCATTATGCAAATGCAGTAATGTAAATCGTTACAGCGCTAAAATTCAGTAATTTTAAAGAATTTTAGATAATTCACTTGTTGCATGTACAGGAAAGTATTCAGATTCTAATAGTCTATATACTCCTTAAATATTTGCTATTACTTTTGTCGATTTTTCGCTAAATTACCATTGTAATGCTTCATTATTTTTAATAAATATCTGCAAACTAAACATTAATGCACAGATAAAATATCAGAGAAATATTATGCAGATAATATATGAAAATTTTGCACCAGCTATAAAATGCTATTATGCAGATAATATATGAAAATTTTGCACCAGCTATAAAATGCTATTATGCAGATAATATATGAAAATTTTGCTCCAACTATAAAATGCTTTATCTTAATTTTGAATATATTTGCAGAATTTGAAGAATTTTCGTTCGTAATTTCAAACATTTTTTTAACGCTCACAATTTTTTTAAAGGCCACTTACAAAATTCCATAAAAAGAATTTTTTTATTAAAATTTAAAAGTCTTGACTGAGTTCAGCAGCTTACATGAACGCAAACAAAGTGTATATGCTCTGAACATGAAACAATGAGCTTTAAGGAAATTATAACTGATTTTTTTAAGTACAAAATATTGTGTAGGATTTATAAATTCTTTTTTCTTAATATTTATTTTTATTTTTATTTATTTTTTATTATTTATTTATTTTATTTTTTATTTATTACGTGCTCCATCGTTAGGCACTACACGGAAAGAGATAGATGCCCCGTGGCGGTCTCTTTAAGAGAAATTGGCTCGTATCCACGTTACACACAGGGAAAACCACGAAAGCGTCCATGCAGCCAGCCGTTCGCCGGGACTGGAACCCCGGACGGAACTACCAGTGTTCAGCAGCTTTTACCGCTTGGCAGCTGGTGGGCATAAACGTGTTGCTAACTTATAAAATCAATTTCATAATAAGTTTTTAAACAGACCATGCTTGTAGCCTCTTTCCTTTAAAATATATTACTTCTGTCCATAAAGTAACAAATGCTTTGCAAATTAGAGTTTATTAAACTTATAAATACGAGTATAATGCGTGATTCATTAAAAGTTAACCTCTGAAATCACTTTCATATTAAATATTTCAAAACAAATTTTTTTGTCAAGGCATAAAACAAAGGAATTTTCGAAAATTAGACTTAATTTCAAAGACTAAATATAGTGTGTAATGTATAAAAAATGCAGCCGGTAAAATCAATTTAATATTAACTTCCTCAGACAGATCACATTTCGCAATAATTTTTCAGGACGATTAGATACAGATGAATGAAGCTAATGGGTTCGCGACAGCAGATGAACTGCATCAAAAAAAAAAAAAAAAACCTCTGCATGCAAAAATAATGTGATTTCACTTTAATACTTTGACAGCAGAATAAAACACTTAGGCCAGACATCTAGGGAGCCAGTTTTCAGTTTCAGAAATACTTGTTTAAAAATGTAATAATTATGTTAATTCCTTAACAATTTATTTTTAGTTCTTACGCTTCTCTGTTCTTTTCATCTTCCGTCACGTTAGTTAACAATGCAGAAGTTCTATGCAAATTTTAGTTACGTTAACATAAACATTCAGTAACACTGATTTTTCGCTTCAGGTAAACGCTTAGTTAAGATAATTTTCTGCTTCAATGAAGGACTCATTTCTTTGAAGTTTTCCTCGAGGCGATCTCTAACGATCAGTTGCTAACTGTTTAGTAAGTGAAGTTTTAAAACTGAATGTCTGTAATTATAATGAGATGGTGTGGTGTGGTGTGGTGTATTTTATTATGGCAAAGCACACTAGGGCTATCTGCCTAAGGGGAGGGATGCCTTCGTGGAGGACTTTCTAAGGGAAACTGGCTCGTATACACGTTACACATGGGGAAAACCACGAAAACACCCATGCAGCCAGCCCGTTCGCGGGATTCGAACCTCGGACCGAACTACCAGTGTTCAGCGACTTTACCGCTCGGCCGCTGGTGGGCAATTATAATGAGAATACGTCTAGTTGTCTAATGCAATGTTTTCCAGACATTTTATCACTGTCTGTGATTATAACTCCCCAGTTGTCTAATACAATGATTTTCAAACCTTTTAGCAGTCTAGAAGAAAAGTTCTAGAAGAAAATAATATGCCAGACTTTTAGCAAATAAATATGCGTAATTATTAATAATTAATTATTAATTAAAAAATGTGTCTTGCTTTTACTTTGAGAGCTATTACTATAGTATGCAAATTATTTAACTACAACTGTTAACACCTTTAGACCAGGTTTTGTAATTGTGCGTAGATTAACGATTCGTCAGTTTGTGTTGTAATTTAAAGCTAGACTGAGATCACAAATAAAATTTTAGCGTTTTTTATTCATTTACTTTTGTTAAATCTTTGTTCTTTCTTAATGGTAACTCATCTTAATACTGGAGTAGCTTAAGCTGAATCGAGATGCTGAATCACCAAGATTTCAGTTTAAAACTACAAAATAATCATTTCACATGGAAAGAACGATGAAGTAATTTATGTTGCGTAGTATAATTTTTTTTTTATTTTGTATTATTATAAATTAAAATGCAGTATTCACTTTTATTCTGGATTACAAGCTTTAGCATAGAGCTTATAAATTAAATTTAGGTTGTTCTCTATGGATTAATATCAAACTTTCATTTATCATATTTACTCAAAAATAAAATTCCCTCTAACATTTTAGAATAATTTACATGTATATATAATGAAAACGTGATTTAGATGAAAATTCATTTGTTTATGCTTAGAATGAAAAGTAAGCTACGTAATTAAATATAATTATTTTACAGTGGTATAGAATGAAAATTAGAAAAAATTAATAATACATTATATCCTGTTTGTTTTTAGGCGTATCAATGATATAGTGGGATCCCAATATAGCGGATGTAGATCTAAACTGAAATTCCTCAACTACTAGAATTATAATTAGCGGTAGGTATACATTGTATAATATATATACATATATTTATATATAAACAAAAGGAAAGAAGTACTATTTAAGAATCCTAAGCCTAGGCGGCAAAGATTTAATTAAACATAATCAAATGATTGAAATGGGAATACTCCTATCGAAAATTGCAGTTAAGTAAAACTAAGTATTTGAAGTCTATATTAATTCCAGTCTACTGAGTCATAATTAGAAAATGAAGAAAGTAAAAATTAAAAATTAAAATTTTACAAAAACCAAAAGGTAAAATAAAAATTACTTTTGAAAAGCATTTTGAAATATTTCAAAAGAAAAATATTGTAAAAGAAAAAATGATAGATGGAATAAAGAATTTATCCTATAAGCACTAGCTAATAGATGTGGAAAAGCAAATTCAATTGAGATGCAAAAATATAAATGGAAATTAAACGAAATTTTAGCAATATTACAGAAAAATGAGAATTGAAATGATAGCGAAATAATGCTGACTAATCAGGGGGAATTAGCTTACTTCAGCCTCTCAGCCTCTTCCCAACTGCTCAGACATCGTGTTTCGCCCTTGTCATGCATATTTAATTTAAAAATTTCTATACATAAATTTTCAATTTCCCAAATTTAATTAACCCATATGCATCGAAACGCGAAATCTGAGCAGTTGGAAAAAGGGTGATTTAAGCTCATTCCCCTTAATTAGTCAACATTATTTGGCTATTATTTCAATTCCTCATTCTTCTGGATTTTTGTGTAATATTGCTAAAATTTCATTTAATTTGCATTTATATTTTTGCATCTTAATTGAATTTGCTTTTCCACAACTATTAGCTAGTGCTTCTAGGACAAATTCCTTATTCCATCTTATCTTTTACAATATTTTTTTTTGAAATATTTAAGATTGCTTTTCAGAAATATTTTTTTATTTTTATTTTCCCTTTTGGTTTTTATAAAATTTTTAATTTATAATTTTTACTTTCTTCATTTTTTTAATTTTAACTTTCTTTATTTTCTCATTATGACTCAGATTAGAATTATGCAAACTTCAAATTCTTGTTTTTTACTTAATTGGAATTTTTGATAGGAGTATTCCCATTTCATTCCTTTGGTTATATTATATATATAATGTAATTATCTGTATGGTTTATTTAATATTTTAAAGCAGTGTACTATTCTACGTAGTATCATAATTAAACTACTTTCTCTCATTCTGAAATTTTAGCTATTAAAATTCCCCGTTATAAGAACCTACCAAATTTTAGAACAAAAATACAGAAGAAAAAAAAAAAAAAAAGTTTTGTTTTCGAGTAAGTTTAGAGTAATTTTAGATTTGCGTATGCACTTTAAATCCTTCAGTCGTTATACTTTAATATTTACCTTTTCCTCTATATGGTTTATTTCAGTATGAGAGCCCTTCGCCTACATAATAATAAGCGCTCAAATTTCGAGAGTATCTATAAGCCAGCAATAATGGGTCAGCTAGTCGTCACAATGAGCTCCAACCCATTATAGCTACTCTAATGATATTTTACCGCTTCCCTTAATGAAGCTAAAATCCGTAATAAGAGCTCGCGTCGTATCGTAGACTGCATCCTACACGAACGTACATCGGAGTATTTAGTTACATCATTAGTAACTGCATTTTGCATAGAACGGTGGGTGGGGGAGAAGATTTTCTCCTTTTTCCTCAATTAAAGAAAAACAAAATATGTAAATGTATAACATAATCTACGTATTTTGATCTTTAATAATGAAAGGAGAGAAATACGATGCATCTTACATTCTTGCTTTTCGAAGTTTCATTGCTTTTCACATGGAAACGATAATAAATTGACGAATTTCAGCATCATTTACAATCGTAGTAAATCCGCCGTTTCAATACTCGCAGTTTCACTTATCCATGATTCAGATCGGCAGATAGAAGAAAATCGCCGTAAATTTATAACCTGTGCATGGAAATGACAACCTTAACGCAATAAAAATGTATAAGTTCAGACCAGTTCAGTACTGTTTTGCCACGCATGTGTATGGTTGTTTAGAGCCAATATAACTAACTATATACGGAGACTGGACATGTTCACTGCGTAATACTATGTGTATTCTGAGTATACAAGAAAACTTTCAAATTCTGAGCTCATATCCTAACTTGTTGGTTACAACTGTCAACTCGCCTCTCAGTGTTTAGTCGGAAAACTTTGGTCTCTCGTCCATCTGCGTTTTTTGCTTGCTGGTTTTTCTCTATTTCCGTTAAACTGCTTCCGGCAGCCTTCTGTAGCATAGATTTTGCCATGGCTGACCATTCATTTTTCCGTCGTTGCGGGTTTTCTACTTTTTCTTTACGGAAATTTTGTTCTCTTCAACGTCCTTCAATTTACCATTGTTTCTCACTCGGGTGGTCGCACTATCTCAGGGATCCTCAAAATTTTCTTTAATCCTTCTCCTTAGGTATATATTCCTTAGATCGGCCACTCAGCCTCCGTAGCTTTAAACGTCATCCAAACTTCGCCTTTTCTTTCGTTTTTCATTCCTGGAATTCTTTTTTGTTCCTTGCGGGTTTTGGGTTAGGCACGCCGATGCCGAATTCTGAATTCTCTATTGCACTTCCGTGCTCAAGCCAAGCGATTCTTGTATATAAGTCCACTCATTATATCTTTAACCTAATTTATATTCACTTTTACAGATGCCATTCTGTTATATATATATATATATATATATATATACACAACTGTCTTCCTTTTTACTTTCATCAAAAAGGGGTCTTCAAACTTATTACTTAATTTCACCACCTTTCCTTCTGGTGCAAAAGAAAGAGAATGCTTTCAGTTTAAAACCTTATATCCTATTTTAAAGTCGACCTCACACATTTTCTTATCATAATTAAGTTTTGTTTTGTACAGGGCAAATCCGAACTACTGTTTGCCTCATCGGCTAATTTCAGAATGTTTTGCAACTTAAATTCTTCAGAACTCTTTCCATCATAAAAATAATAACTAAATAAAGGTTGTCGAAGAGAGTAATCAACTTCCTGCCGAGGAATGATTCAGCAGTTGCTTTATCCATGCTATCCCGTTTAGTAGTTTTTAATACTTTGGCTAATTCATTAACAGAGTTATCCCAGAGTTGGTGATAATTTCTTACATAACTGAGGATAATTTTAACTTTATTTATATTCATTTGCTCAGCGATATTCTATTGTGGTCGATAAGGGACCATTTTAAAATGTTTACGTCAAGACCCCGTGAACGTTCCCTCAAAACTTACGAACTGCCTAACTTTATTTGAAATTAATTTTGTTGGAGCTCCATATCTTAACATGAATTTATTTAAACATGAATCTGCACTAATTTTCGCGGACACTCTTCTGAGAGGAATTATTTCTATCCACTTCGAAAAATAATCAACGGTCACGTCTAAATATCTATTTTTTTTCCACTACGTGGGTAAAACGTTAATAGATCACAATTTCAATAATTTTGTTAGGGAATATGACTTTTATGCTAATTAAGACCCTGCTCGGCTTATTAACATCATTAACTGCCAAGTGTTACAGAACTTGACATGCTCAGTTACAAATCTTTGCAGCTGTGGAAAATAAACACATTCTTTTACTCTCTGAATTGTTTTCTCGTTTCGAGATAACCTAATAAAGGCTAAACATGTAAATCGTGTAAAATACTTAAATTATCTGTTATAACCGGTCTTAATTCATTATTATTATTTGTTATTTTAGTTATAGAAGGTTATCACTGATTTCGTAATTTGCAGCCCTGATCCCCAGTCCCGTTATGTTATGATGCTCAAAGCGATAGGGATTTTCTAGTGAGCGGAGATGCTTTTACATTTTGAGTCTACTTGCAGATCTGAAATATTTTTTTCTCGAGAGTCTAAAATTTTAGAAGTTAGCATGGAGCATTTTAATTCTTACCCCCCTCATCATCTTAGTGTATTCTTGAGAGGGTATCCGCTACAACGTTTTTTTTTCCCGGAAACGTTTTTATGTATTTAATAGTATTCTTGTAACTTAAGAGCTCATATAATGAGTCTGGGTGACATATTCTTTCCCGAATATACGAGCAGATGCACAATGACCGTATCATCCGTATATAAGTATGGACCGTATGGTCCATATATATTCCTTGCCAAAAAAACTCCAAACTTTTGAGCGGTCAACAGGATTGCTAATGTTTCTTTCTCAGTAGAGGCATAATTTCTTTGAGCTAAGTGTTTTGCTCAAATATGCTACCGGCTGTCAGTCTCCCATAAACGTAATATTTTTGTTAGCAAATTTTAAAAAATTCAACCTCAATATTTCGCTTGCCTGTAAGTTTCTTACCACAGAATAAATCACTTTTTGACATTAATTTTTAACTTGCATGTTTAAGATTATTATCCCTACTCATTCACAATGTTTTCCCTGTGTTGTTATAACTTTAGTTCATGCCAGGCCAAACAATTTATGCTTCTTAAAAATTTTCTGCCAAAAAACTACTTTTCTTCCTTGTGATCACACTGTAAAAAAAAAAAGTTCGCTCTTTACAGGCAAAAGTTTTGTAAAGTTACAGAAATCAAAAAGTTACAGAAGAATTTCCTGTAATGGTAACAGGTTGAAAGCAAACTGTAGGGGTAACAGCTGATTTGCTTGTAACATTACAGATAATGTTTCAGTAGCCGCGCAGAAGAATCACGTGACTGACTGGAAATTAGCCAATCAGGAGAAAAGTGTTTGAAAGCTAGTTGCAGAAAAAAACATGGCTGAATGCATGTTGGTTGTATAGCGCAGGTAAGTAAGAAAATGTTACAATTACTGCTTGAAATATTTTTTGTTCATTTTATGCAAATTATTCTCATGCACTTTGCACTGTTATATGTAGTGAGTAAGTATTTAAACGTTTAAGCTTTGCGATTAATTAATATCAGTGTTCGTAATGTCTAATGAGTTGAAAGAATGCAAAATATTTATTCCAAATGCAGATCTAATAGTAGTATTTTGTCATTGTGCATCCGATAAATTACGCCTTAAATTGCCCGTATTATTATTTAAAACTAATTATTCCAAAATTTAATCACTGTTTGTGGTATATAATTGAAATGGTAATGTGGCTGTTGAAAACAAAACTAATCATTTTAGCGTTCTTTTCCAATCGTCTGACCAAAGAACGTTTGACATCTTTTTCCCGGCAGGCCTTGCGAGAAACGTTTACATAAACATTTAGAATTCTGAATGTAATGTATATATTTTTTTGCTTACTAGGTTTAGTTTATTCTTTTTTCTAGGATTATCTAATTAGTTATACCTGGTTTATAATTCAGTCTAACATGTTTATGTACGAGTGTGTTATGAAGTAAAATTACAAAAACTTGAACAACGCGGTCGAGAATCTCGTTTATTCCTTTAGTGTAATAATATTTTTTTCAGTGGTATTAATTTCTTACGAAAATATTATAATTCCAAAATGAAGTAATTATATTGATTAAAAATATGCCGTATCATACTTTTCGTAATGTTTTGTTTTACTAACTAGATGCAACTTAATTATTCCATATATTTTAATATACCAATATCAACAGGGGAAAAATGGAAATGACCTAAAATATTTTTCTAACAATTCGTTAAACTAATTATAAAACAAAACTAAAATTTTGTGCATTATTTCCAAAAATATCATTTCATTAATATTTTATAAATGACAACATATATTATATTGTATATATAACTACCATTGCATACTTATAAGTTTTTAAACATTTAATGTAGAATTTATGTTGATTTATTTTTGCCCAGTTTTAATACAGTTTTTGAAGTATGATAGTCTTGTTACTAGGATAAAGCATGAATCTGCTAATACAAGTTTAATACATTTCTTGACAAATGTTTCTCTTATTCATGTAATATAATATATAAATCATAAAATAAGTTTTCTTAAAAATAAATTATTATTGTTTATTGGAATTTAAAACAATTCTGTATCTGTATGTTGTATTAAAAATAAAATAATAATGAATTTTTTAATGAAGCATTGATTTTTAGCATTAACAATGTAAATATATATATATCTACACACATGAATAAATGGAAATGCAAGCTACTTTTCCTTACAAAAACCGCCCATGAATATATACTTCCCTTTAGGCTGATAGCCTTTGCATGCTTTGCCATATTCTATCAATCCAAATGATGCAAATATGCAGAAAACTTTACTTTCTTTGAAAGTTAATACCGGAAATAAAATTCAGTGCATTTGTAAACTACGTTAGTTCTCTTATAGCTTGGCATTTAACTACCCAATGATTTACTAGTCCAAACTAAGGCAGAATTCAGATATCGTTCAAATAAAAGAAAATTAATAAGGTCTGATTTTTAGACGTATATATGAAGATTTATTTTTTTAAATATTATTTTAAGTCAACCAAATTAATTTCAAATTTAAGTAAGTATTCATGCCTTTCAGTAGCATTATTTTTGATATCTAAATAACTGATGAATGCAATATTTCTTGTTATGAAAGACTAGCGAAGTGGATTTGCAAGTTCTAATTACGCAAGGTCCCATGCTTTAAGGGGTCATTTTTAAAAATACTTAATTAAAAAAAATATTTAACGTAAAACTTCCAAACTTCACACATGTGGAATATTAATTCTATATATTTTATCTCATTCTTATTTTATTAATTAATTTCATAGCATTTTGTGTGACACTAGTAGTAATTATTAATTAAATTTTATGCTGTTTCTGATCTATGTTTTTGATTTTGTTATTAATTACGTTAGTTTACATAAGATTTAAAATTATGTAAGGTACAAAAACCTTCTGCATCTATTAATATATGCTGAAGTGAATGAAATTATGCCAGTGAAATTTTTTAAAATCAAAACAAATTTCTGTGGAAAATTAAAGTTATAAATTCTAAATGCAAACAAAGGAGTGAATTTGAAAGTTATCAAATAAGCCAAAGTGTTGGTCATTTTTTCAGTTTTTGCAGAAGAATTTTTATACTTTGCAGAATGGGAATATGATGTTTGGTTTTTTGTTAGTATTAATTATTACAACTGAATTATTGCAACTTACATTGCAACACGTAATTTAGCTTAAAATTTATTTGAACTTAATTTTCTAATTTATTTTGATCATGTATATTTCATGTGTCATAAGTCTTTGAAATGAACTTAATTCTATTTATTTACACAATTTTTTTAAAGAAGAAAAAGTCACATTTGGTTTGCTTAGTTGCACACGAAGATACATACCTATATATAGAGAGAGAGAGGGAGAAAGAGGAGTTATGTTTACTTGCAGACTTTTTTCTTCCTTTTTACTAATATTATAGTATGAAAATCAAGGGGGAAATTAAGCAATCAATTTAATTTTGAAGGATGTGATTACAATAAGATCATAAACCAATCAAAAATATTCATGAATGAACTACTGGTAACTATCATAGTATTATTATTTAAAAGAAACCTACATTCCAATAAGAACGCTTAGTAACATAACCATTTAAGTTATCTGATAAAAGTAATTTTCATTCCTACTTCCCTATACCTTGAATTTCACTCTTAGTATTGCCCACTGCTACTACTACTCTCCCTAGACCTCAAAGCATTTAATGCATCTGGAACTGCAATTTGTGTCTTCTTCTACAGCATGCAAGTTATCACACCGTTTAGTTTGTACTGCCACGAGCAATGATCTTCAGAATTACCGTATTGCGTTGCATATTCCACCCCACCCAGCTTTAGAACCAGATTCTGAAAATTAAAAAAATATTTACATAATTTTCCCCCTTTTAATGCATTCAGAAAATGAATATCCCAAGATTTTAAAATGGATTTATCAACATAATGATTGTTTTCGTCATACTAACAAAGGCAAACTTTTGCACACTTAAGGCCCCGTTGAATCTTTCTCTTCTAACTGTTGAATATTATGTCAGCCTAATACAAACAATGATCTATGATAGTGAAAGCAAATACCAACTGCCATTCACTGTGCAATTTTGCCATATCAGCTGAATGTTCACCCTAGCAAGCATCGGACCACAACCTTCTCTAATTATTTATGTATGATCTGAGGCCTAAGGATTTGTAAGAACAACAATGAGAATGACAGAAGTTCAAATTATAAAGAAGAAATGAGATAACTTATTAGATATTGCAATTATGTGTATTCTTATTGAAATAGAGGTTTCTTTTAAATAAATAATATTGTGATAGTAGTAGTTTATCCATGATTACTTTTCCTTTGTTATATTCCTACTGTGACTGTAGAGCATTAGATATTCCAATTTTCTTGAAGCTGTTCACTATTATTGTTTCATCAATGATAGGCCATGCACCCAAAATCCACTAGCAAATCAGTTAGTAAGATTAAAATGACCACTATGCGGACAAAACATTTAGGGTAACTTGTTTTTGTGAGCGCCTTAAGGAAGACAAACATTACCTAAATCTTTAAAACATATTCAGAATCCTGTGCTAAAAGAAAGCTAGGGAGAAAATGTTGTCCGAGTCCCAGTGATTCCTTTGGACGAATATGTAATATTGTTTTAGAAATTTAAGGTAATAAATATAATATTTTTCGAATGCTAAAACAGTTCGAGAAATTTATTCAAGTTTTGAATTCTGAATATAAGTATACTGTATATTATATTTAATAACTATGGTGGCTTCATTTATGAAAATATTTTGAATATTGGCTGTTTTTGTACAATGAACCTTCTCTAAGCTAGCTATACGTGATTCCTGAAAATTTTGATCTTTAAATGATAGTGGGCATCCTAGAGAAGTTATGTTTACTAATTAGTTATTTTATGAGGAATGCTGGTTAAATTTAAAAAGTGATTGACTGAGGTAGCTTGTCGTAATGAGACGGTTCACTGTAATCCAATTTTTTAAAGAATTTAAGCTGTTCTTAATTAATTAAGATATTATAAAGAAATATGATTAAAAGTGTTATATAAGCACATGTTTAAAACATCTATTATTAAAATAATTTTTATAAGCTTTTTAAGAGCATGATTATGATTTTAAAAGAAATGTTTTTTTCTTTATTTAGGAGACATGGTTTACAAAGAGGAGAAAAACCATTCATTTTTTCCAAGCAGTCGAAACGAATTTTTATGAAATGTTTATTAAATTATATTATGTTATTTTTTTAATTAATTCTTTTTTTCAGGTTTTATGTAAAGTTTATGAATTAAGTAATAAATTATTTTTACTTCTGTATTTTAATTAGCATATCATTTGCTTCATAGTGTTTCACAATAAAATTATAAATTCAATAAACTTAAACTTCTTAATTAACATGCTGTAATATAGAGAGAGCATAAAGTTTGTTTTCTGTTGTCACATGTTTATTTCACAATTTTGTATGCGAATCTCGAAATTTATAATAACTAGGAATACTTTTTTAGTATCACTTTCGAAATGGTAAATATTAAGCTTAGATTTATTACATATTATGTTTGTAAAAAATTATAGGTAAAATTAAAATGCATTAAATTTTAAGCTAAATTGAAGTATTAATTTTAGAAATAAATTTCTTAAAGGCATAATTGTATTAAGAATTTTAAGGGAAACAAGGCTTTAAAAATTAAGGTCAGTTGGCAAAGTTTTATGCTTATTCAAAAAGCATGACATTAGGTTTTTAATGAAAGACTAATCTATCTTGTAAAGTTTAATTCAAAGGAAATTATTTGAAGGTAAGTAAAAAAAGTTATGCATTATTTCAAACAATAGCAGACTGTTGACAAACACTGAGTGCAGATAAGAATAAAAAAATTAGTTAGAGACGTTGTAATTCAAGCGTATGAACAAAATTTGAATTCCTTGTAGTAACAAAATGAAGTTCATTGCTATGTTGAATTCTTTAATTTACTGAAAATGTCATTTTTTAGAAGGAGAGAATATATTTTTGAAATATGAAGAACAGCTGTTCTGAGTTCTTCATAGAAATATTTCACAAAATGTCTTTTACTGTAATAATATGATCATATCAACATGCAACACGTTTACTCATATAAGTTAAATCTAAAGCAACATGTGTCTATTTTAGCTAAAATTACTAAAAAGAAAGTTCTAGAACATATCTTATTAACTGACACTAAAACATGCAAATAAAACATACTGTTTTTTTTCAGCTGTTTTACAGGGCAAATATAAGGAGTAGCATATCAATTTGAACTTTTAAATTAATCAAAGAAAAATGATAATATGAAAGGCCTTTCAATAATATCCAGACATAAGTTTATCTTCATAAAAAACAAAAATACTCTGCAACAGACTAATGTTACTTTTTGAAAAAAGAACATTGCTGTTGAAAGCACATCTTTTAAATTAATGCTATTCTGAGGTCAAATTGACTAATTTAAAAAGCCAAAGTATTATGCTTCACTTGCATATATCTGTATAATGATATACACATGCAGATTTTGTTTTACTCAAAACATCTTGATTTCAATATATTTTATTATAATAAGCATCATTTTAGACAAAAAAAAATCTATTACTTTTATAGACATATACTTTAGTATTTATTATCTATGAAAAATATATTCTACACACATAATTACTTAATGGGATATTAGAAGGAAATAATCTGAAACCTTTACAGATACAACCATTGGAATTTTACGTAAGAAAAGTATCTTCTACTCACATAATAACTTGCTATAATAATACAAGCAAATAACCTGTAACGGTTACAGATATATCTGTTGAGATTTTACATGAGAAAAACATGTTCTTTTTACATAATTATTTGCTGTAATATTACACGCAAATAATCTGTAACCATTACAGATATATCGTTTGGGAATTTACATGAGAAAAATATGTTCTACTTACATAACTATATGCTGTGATATTACAAGAAAAAGATCTGTAACCATTACAGGCAAAACTCTTGTAATGTTACAAAGAAAACACCTGTTTCTGTTACTCAAATAACCTATGGCATCCCAGTTTCCATGAGTTTTCTTAGTAACCTTACAGATTTTTTTTTTACAGTGCAGTAAAGCGTTCGAAGATGTGCCATGTAAGACAATTTAAACAACTCAGAGTGATAGATTTTTTAATCAGTACCGTATTTGGACGTGAGAGGCTTTTTCTTTCCTCTGATCTGATTGATCTCTCTGATCTACAACACCCCTACCTAGTTTAAAAGTTTCTGCTTATCACCCACTACTTTCCTTTTTTGAGACTCATCTTAGTGATCGCCATTAGGAAACGATAAATTTTGCTTTTTTCCAAACTGTCTTCTGCAGTCAAATTTAGCATCTCTTTCGGCAACTGACTTCCGAAAATTTTCACTACCTGTTTCATAGTATTCCTACCTGTCCATATTCATTGATACACGCCGACTTTCAAATTTCACGGGATAATTCAAAAAGCTGTTATAGCCATACCAGGGTTTCTTAGCTTCAAAAAAAAAAAAAAAAAAAAAAAAAAAAGTGAAGATGTGGCAACCACCTCAGTAATATTATCAGAATAACTTTTGAATCGGCTTTTTTCCCATATAACAAATTCACCACCTGCACGTTTCTTAAAATAAAATCCTTTAACTCATTTGCCTTAGTCTGATATTCAACATAATGTTCTCGATCTAGCTTACATCCCTACAGGAAATCCCTTCAGGGAATGCTTTTTAAAGGGCAGTTTTAAACATATAGTTATCACTCCCTGGTTCACTTAGAAATATCTTCCAGTCCCTTTGTATTAGCTCAGGACTTGATCTCGGACCCAAGCAGTTGTTATGGCCACTCTTTGCAACTCTCCAGGGTACAGTAGAAAATGCTAAATTTTCTAAAAGTTCAATACCGCACTTCTGCCGTTGGACCTACTCGATGGCTTCATCGAAGCACGCATAGCTTCCATGACAAAGACAAATCGTTCTATCGAAGTCCGGTAGGAACTTGGAAATTGGGATGGGGCTCAGCTAGTAGCCTAAAGGTGGCGTTGTCTTGCGACTTGGTTTGTGATCTAGTGAGTCTAGAAACTTGTATTTAAGTTCTACAGACCCCACTGGACTTCTAACAAGTTATCGCTTAGTCTTAAGCAAAACAGATATGTAATTGCATGCCTAACATTAATTACAAATCAGGGCCCAATTAGTTCAATGTGAAGGAAGGACTGACCACAATGCTCTTTTAGGGGCCTTCAATACAATTTTCTTCATTTTTATACAAGACCGGATATTTATCGGATATAAGATAACGGATATAAATATAACGGATATTTTTTGCCCTCCGTATCGTAAGACCCTATACCGGTGTTGTGAACACATGCATTAATCATTCTTTAGAGACCTAATGTTTTCTATTAAAACTCAGTTATTAAATGTGTTTCAAAGTAGTTGCCATGCATTTCTTTAAAGGGTGGGTGTTCATCTTCCTTGTTACCAACAGCAAAATAATTCTATCCTTTCTTGAGGATTTTATTCAAGCTGTGATACTCTTCATCTAAGCTGATTTCTAACTTTCTCGAAATTAAAATCCAACACGTGAAAAACATTTCGGTTACCTAGATGACGTCTTGATATCCAGGACGGGAATCCAGGATGGCTGTTCTTGAACTGTCACTCCTGAAGGACGATTTTCAAACAATAAGCCGATTGTTTAAAGAAATGCATAGAGCTTGAAACATGCTGTAAGATGCTGAATAGCTAAATATCTGAAATATTTCCAAAAAATTACTTAAACATTTTGTTATTTCTTCACGTAATACCTTAATTAAAATAACATTGCAGGTGCGTGTTCTTTTCTTTGATTTATTTTAATCAACGTTTACAATAATGAGAGGTATCAGATTAAAACTTGTATATGAGAAAATAAAAATAACATAATTCATAAGTTCATTGCATAAGGTTCTGGAGACCCATCATTAGTAACGTAAATAAAACGATCTAACATTTTAACTGCATATCGAGATCAGTTTCCGTCTGCGAAGCCCCCCTCCGCGCTTTTTGACACTCCCCCCTTCCTCCGTTTCCTTTTTTCCATTAACAGTTTGCTAAGCATTATCTTTATTTTACTGCATCAAGCAGCCTTGCGGCTTGGCAGACTGCCGATTCTGGAAGTTGTTAACTATCTCTGATCGTTAACAGAATTTCCGACAGCATAATTAAATAACGCACCGAACATCGCTGAATGTCGTGTTCTCTAAGGCGACCAGCTCCACAAAAGGCCAAAATCATTTGGAACTGCAGGGAAGCCTTTTAAAGTAGTTTTCCTATAATTTATAAGTATCTGCAAATTATCGTATTTGTACGTCTGTAAGCTTCGATCTCACCAAATATGCGCAAAATCACCAAATATGCGATCTCACCAAATTTCATCATATTAGTTAAAAAGAGAATAAGTGTTCCTTGGGAACTCACACAAAAGCAATTACATTTTTTTCAAGATTTTCGTATTTCTAAATTCTGTATTACATAACTACCTTTCTCATTTATTTACTACTGAAACTGCTTTATTTTTACCTTTTATGATTTTCAAAAGTACTGCAGTAATAATCTTTGTTCAATGGAAGAGCTGCACTGAAATTTCCAACATCATGCGAAAGAAATTCGAAAGCTAGTTTTTTTTTGCCTGAACTCGATGGAAAGAAAAAGTGTAGAAAAACAGTACGTGGAGATCTAAAAATACCGTGCAGAATAAAGAACAGAAACTCGTCTCCCCTCTCACTTTTGTTTGGTTTCGTGAACATCGAGAAAAATACATATCATACGTAGAAATACTTAAAAAAAAAAAAAAAAAAGAGGTGAAAGTGCATGGAATTTTATACTTTACTGCCCTTTTTTCTGGAACAGATATCACGAAATAACACTTTTTTTTCCGCCATTTTATTCAAAATGAGAAATTTCTTGTTGCCTCTTGTGGAACCTTTTTCTTTTTTTGCCTTTCGGCAGCTTCCCACTTCAGTACATTTTTTAAGTCTTGCGTTTTAGAATATTTACGGACCTGATAATTTTGTCTAAATAAAGATTTTTATTTATAATATGATATTTTGCCGTTATTAGATCTCTGTTCCTAAATCCTCATTATTCTTGTTATTACAGGAGATATTAAAAAATAAGACCTTAGCGGT